ACTGCCGCCTTCCCCCGTCACTTCCAGGGTCTCGGCAGAGCTGCAAAGCCCCGGAGCGGCGGGACGGCGAGCAAGCTGTCTCGCCGAGAGGGTTTTCCTGGTTTGATTTGGATGTCAGAGGTGTCCCATTTGGGAAGCGAGCGAACGCCGGAGCGATGGGGCTGAGTGGGATTAGAGATAAAAGCTTAATTGCCTCCTGCAAGTCTCTTTTCGCCAGATGCTGGAAGGATAAGGAGCTGTCGGAAAGGAGCGGGGAGGAGGGGGCAGCAGCGGGGACGGAGGTTGCGAGGGGGGGATTTTCCCTGTTCCGTGCGGTGGGAGTTGCGTTCAGGTCGCGGTCTGGCTCCATCACAGGGGTATCACAGTGGAAAGATCTTTCTTAAACCAATGTTTTGCACCAGGCTTTGAGGTTTGTGGTTTTTTTCCCCCCTCCTCAATATGACTAAAGCCTTCCCTGGGGGGCCATGGGCAGCCTGGGCAGTGGGTCGGGCTAACAAGGGCTCTCGAGGTTTATTCTCGAAGTGTGAGGCTGTGGATTTGTGTCGCCTGTTCGGGATGGGGCTGTGCTCCCCGCTGAGCCGCCCCGGGCCACTGCAATGGCATTCAGCCCACCTGCACCTCACAAATATATACATATATATATAAAAATAGACATACAGTCCTTAGATCCAACGAGGCACCTGGTGCCAGTGGATCCTGACCTGGGGATCCTGCGCCCCTGGGTTCAGCACCGGTGGCGTTGGTGTCATCCAGGTGACAACGGTGTCATCCAGGTGACACCAACCCGTCCCGTGATGCCCCGCGATGTGCCCGCAAACCCATTTTACCTGCAAAGAGACAGCAACAGGGAGCTGGAAACTCTTGACAAGGCTGAGGAGGGGAAAACCTTGGGAGCTCCCCGAGCTTGGACTACAAGGCAGTTATCTTTCTGGGTTAATTATTGGCATTAAGATTGATTTTGGTGTGGTTTTTTTTCTTTGGATCAGATTTTGATGCTCAAATGCAAGTTGTGCAAAGGAAAAGTCAAAATAGTAAGTGAGGAATGGCGAGAGAGTGCAAACATACAATTTTATCGATTTGGTTTTTATTTGCAAATAATAATAAGACAGAAACGAGCACCTGTGCTGGGAGATATTAAGAAATATAAATCAGAAATGTATCTCAAAAGATTAGAGGAACTGAAAGCATTAAATAGTGTCCACAAAAAAGTGAATGCACAGTGACGTGCACAGACCCTGTTTTCCAGTTGTCACTGGGAAGAAAACCAGTGTTCATACCCTCTTGCTGGCCGTGTGCTGGCATCCTGGAAGATCAGACCCCCCGGGAGCGGGAAGGGCCAGACTCCGATGCAGTTGTGTTTAAATAAATAAATGCCCTCTGCCACTGGGTCCCCAAAGTCGCAGTGCTGGAGCAGCAGCGTCCCCCTCTCTCCCGACCTGCCTTTGCAGAGCCGTGGCCTCACGAGCTGCCTGGAGGGGTCGGGTGCTCCAGAGACGTCCCGCTGCCTGGGGTGGCAGAAACCTTCCAGATCCAGCTCCCATCCTGACAAAGGCTGCGCTCTGGAGCAGAGGGGGCTTTCCTGGGCACTCTGCAGGGGGTCCTGACCTCCGTGCCCACCTACCAAGCCCTGATCCCCGCTTCCGCGCTGGCTTGCAAGCACGCGGGCTGGTGCTGAGCAGTGCTGGCCATGCCCAAGCTCCGATTCGTGGCAGGGCTGCTGGGGGCG